ATTTTTGCGAAGCTTTTCTACCACTGAAGGTTTGGTGACAATGATGAGATTTGAGCAAAGGATGAGTATTGAACCAGCCAATCTTTAAGATCCTTTCCAATTCTGAGATTTTGTGATTCCATATTGTGGAGGAAAATAATCTTAGAACTCTTTGCTTATGTGCTATCTCTTATTTCAATTTAGTGGATATATTTACTTCTTCTAATGTTCTTCATAGCAATATTATTTGTTTAATTCAGCCCTGTTCAAAATTTCAAGAAAACAGTTGGATTTGGACAAACAAAAATTTAATAGCTTGCCCTCCTTATCAGCATGGGAAAATTCTAGTCTGGGTTGGCATCCAGAAAAGAGACGGGTAGCTCTGTGGGTTACAAAAGAGAGAGACAGTGTGGATCATTTAGAAAACAAAAGATGACCCTTCCCTTCCTCAATGTGTGATGTTTCTGGTTGGATGCTGGAAGACTTTCTTAATGTCATTTCTATCCCTACAGCTCTACACAGGTCCAAGTTTTAAACTCAGTGCTCAGACTAGAAGAAAAGTCAGTAACTGGCTCAATAGATTAGAAAATTATATTAGCACTAGAAGAAATAACATGGGGAAAACAGGATTTCAGAAAGGATGCTACCACGTGAATTTAGAGCAGCCAGCTAGAGTGATGTAGAGATCACCCAACCCAGTATTTGAAAGAGCGGTACTGGGATTATCAGGAAACTGGTACTCTAGATCTGACTCTGTCATTGACTGGCTGTGAAACCCTGGGCAAAGCATCTATCACCTCTGGGACTTGGTTTCCTCATCTACAAATAGTTTTTTTTTTTTAAGTTACCTAACATTTATATAGAGTTTCCTACATTACAGGAGCTGAGGTGACTGTTTTTTTTAATGTTTATTTTATTTTTGAGACAGAGAGAGAGAGAGAGAGTGAGCAGGGGAGGGGCAGAGAGAAAGGGAGAGAGAGGATCTGGAGTGAGCTCTAGGTTGATGGTGGAGAGCCCAATGTGGAGCTTGAACTCACGAACAATGAGATTATGACCTGAGCTAAAGTTGGATGTTTAACTGACTGAGCCACCCAGGCACCCCACGGTGACTGCTTTATAAGGCTCTCATTTAAGTCTCCAAAAGTCTTGGGCCTTGGAAACTCTCAAATAACATGAAGAAAGATAATAATACTTAAAGCAGCTTCTGCCATAGCCATTGTCCTAACCCCCGCCCCGGCCCCTACTGGATCCACAAAGCAGCTCTTCTACTCATCCTTTCTCCCTGCAGGTAAGGGACTCAGGAAAGAACTTCCATGCAAAGATGGAAATTGTTTGGCCTGGAAAAAAAAAAAAAGCATTTGAGACATGACTTGGTAATCTTCTGTCTTCAGCCTGTGGGGATCTATTTCTGGGGCTGGTGGAGACAAGGTGATTGTAAAACCTGAAAAGATGAAGGGAATATATGGCCTGGCCCGAAGCTGGAAGGAACTACACTAAGTGATGAATGGGATGGAATGGCCCTGAAGTTTAAAGCCCAAAGGAACTAGATATAGGGGTCACATTTACCTCTCAACCTGGAGCTTCAAGGGTAGGGCTCACTTTTAAGGGCTTATCTGAACAGAATGGTTTGGATCAAGAGTTCAGTAAGACATAGGAGTGCCTTAAGTGAACTCTGAAAGTCCCCTCCAGCCCAGGTCTATGAGATAATAAGGAAGGTCGCAGGGTATTTTTTGTTTTGGTAGGGGCAGTAACAATTTAGCATCATGTTCACATTAAGAAAAAGCACTTGGTGGAAATATTATTTGGGAAAGTATAAAATATTAAATTAATTGATGAGATATGGCATACAAAATGTTGTTGCTGAATATTTTAATCTGGTTTCTACATTGGTAGTTGGGACAGGGAGCTCACTGACCTGGGGGTCAGGAAACCCATTTAATCCTGACTCTGACTCTACTTGCAGCCTTTTCATTTAAAAAATGCTGATAACAGTCTTTGCTCTACCTGTCCTATGATATTGTTGTGTGAGTCAAATGAGTTAATGTATATTGCAAGTGTATTGGAAATTGTCAAATAGTTATCATATATAAGGTATCATACGCTAGATAAAGAGCTCATCTGGGGCACCTGGGTGTCTCAGTTGGCTAAGTGTCTGACTTCAGCTCAGGTCATGATCTCACAGTTCATGGGTTTGAGCCCCGCATTGGGCTCTGTGCTGACAGTTCAGAGCCTAAAGCCTGCTTTGGATTCTGTGTCTCCCTCTCTCTCTGTCCCTCCTCTGTTTGTGCTCTGTCTCTCAAAAAACAAATAAATGCTAAAAAGTTTTTTTTAAAAAGAAAGAAAAAGAGTTCATCTTGTCAAAAAATAAGCCTAGAGTTAGAACCAATTGGTATTTTAGGAAAGGTTCATAATTCAAATGTTCTTTCATAATTATATGCATGGATAGAGGTAAAGAAGGAGGAGGAAAAATTGAATGGTAATTGTACAGCTGAATCACCTTTCTTTTGCTTAGAAGTGAAGAAGTAGACTCTAAGTTTGCAATATCAAAAAAAGAAGGCATAGCAAAATTATTCTTACACCACATGACCTGGGTTTTCTGGGCAAGGTTAAGTCAATTTCCATGAAACTTGAGCCAAGAAATTCATGCAGACACCAGACAGCATAGTACAGTTTGCTGGTCAACCAACCTCATTTCAGGTTGCGCAAACAGCATGGAAGCCAAAATAAAAAGATGCCCAATATAAGATCATTTGAATTTTTTGAGGCTGAGACCAGAGTAACATTTAACTATTTTGGGACACAATACCATAGGGAAATAGTAATTGGAAAAAATTATATCATGATTTTCTATCCGTGGACAAGTTGAGAAAGGAAAATTATCTCATGGTGGGGTACTAGGCTTAACAGGTTGAATATGCCCTCCCTGAATAGATGTCCACATCCTAATCCCTAAAACTTAAGAATATGTTACCTTACATGGCAAAAGGAACTTTGTAGATGTGACTTAACTAAGACTCTTGAGATAGGAAATTGTCCTGGGTTATTTGGGTGGGCCCAATGTCATCACAAGGGTCTTTATAAAGGAAAGAAGAGAGAGTCAGAGTGAGGGAAGGTGATATGGTAACAAAAGCACAGGTGAGAGAGAAGAAGAGAGAGATTTGAAGATGTTTTACTGGTTTTGAAGTTGGAAGAAGTGTGGGGCGCCTGGGTGGCGTAGTCAGTTAAGCGTCCGACTTCAGCCAGGTCACGATCTCGCGGTCCGTGAGTTCGAGCCCCGCGTCGGGCTCTGGGCTGATGGCTCAGAGCCTGGAGCCTGTTTCCGATTCTGTGTCTCCCTCTCTCTCTGCCCCTCCCCCGTTCATGCTCTCTCTCTGTCCCAAAAATAAATAAAAACGTTGAAAAAAAAAAAAAAGAAATGAAGTTGGAAGAAGTGTCCATGAACCAAGGAAGGCAGCTGGCCTCTAGAAACTGGAAAAGGCAAGGAAACGGATTTTTCCCTTATGGTCTCCAGAAGGAACACAGTGTTACCTAACCCATTATAGATTTCTGACCTCCAGAATGATAAGATAATAAATTTATGTTGGCTTAATCCATTAAGTTTGTGGTAATTTGTTTTAGCAGCAATAGGAAGTAAAACACCAGGTAATTTGAGGCTGTGGACTTCTCTGCTAAATTTGACCTCTGTAAATTGAGGAAGGGCAAAACAAAATACTAAAACATGATTAAAAACAAGATGCTAAAGATCATTTGTTAACATAAATCACTAGTTTCCTTTGATTCCATGGCCACTGCTGTAATTGTGAATTGTATTCACTGGCTTCCAGTCTGTACTTGCCCTTTGTTTCCTTATTATGAACACACACACACACACACACACACACACACACACACACACACACCACTTAAAGAAGAAAAAGAAAAGTTCCATAGGAGATGTGCCTTGACTCCTACTATGACTCCCTGCATCTCCCCACTGATGTCTCTTTACAGGAGCCCCTATAGACCCTTCTTCCATCCCCATCTCTTTATTTCCCCCACCATGAGAGGGCTTCTTGATCTTCCTTGAGGCAATTGTTTCCCAAACTTTAGGCTACTTTGAGGAAGAGGCTGTGAAAGGAAAATCTCAGGAATTACATGGCAGGTAATGCTTACTAATGCTTGTTGAGAACAGCCTCTGGTTTGCTGCTGGGCCCATTGGTGGGAGAATTTGGAACCAAGATTTTGCTCAAACAGCTGCTTTGAGCTTGTGTGTGGCCCCACCCCTGCACAAGAGAGTAAGCTGGAGGCCTAACAGACTGACGCTGTTTAGCTTAACTTATGTAAATAGGGTGGGCCACTTTTTTCAATGTGCCTGCGACAGTAGGGAGAATGGCATTAACTCTTCTAAAGCCATGGAAAGAATATGGAGTACCACACTGTGGCATTCAGCTGAAAGACCCAGCTCTCAGCACCCCACCTGGACAACTACATAGCAGAGCACAGGAGCCTGTGATTGGCTGGGACAGAACTGACCCAGAGATGAGATATGATAGATATGACCACTAGGCCATTTCTCTACAGTGATAAAAATCTCTGATTCAGCCTCCCAAAGACTAGCATTAAATGGTTCAAGACACCATTAGGGTAGACTATCTGATCAGAATTTTCATACAGAAAGATTGTATCAATAGTACATACTGGAGTTTTGAGTTATGTAGGCACAGCATCAATTGTCCAAATGAGCTCATAGTCACTCTGGCCTCTCCTCTCCCTCTTCCCCCAACATACAGCATTACTACAGAAAAATGAAGGGTAGGAACTAGAAGTAAAAACATTCTGCTTTCTCTATGAAGGTTTTCCTAAATTTCAAAGAGAAAGGGCTTCCCCCATCGAACCACTCAGCTGCTCCCTCCCCAAATTCTCTCCCAAGAAGTATCTTCTAGGAAGAGAACCTCTGGGGATAAAGCGTTTCCAAATAGGACTCCTTCCACTTGGGCTTTACAGATGAAAACCTTAAACCTGGAAAGAACAGAAACACGTACATGCTCGGATGTGAAGGCAATGAGCCTGGGAACAGCAGCCATTCCTTTCTCCTTGACTTCTGGGAACATCTTAAAGCGTGCAATCAGCATGGCATACATGTTAGATATAGCGCCACCTAAAGTAACAGCAACACACAGTTACCTTTTCTAGTTATTATCAACATCATTTCACATGCAAGAAACATTCCTCATTTCCACTGACCCAGAATCCTCCTGGGACACAGGAGAAGGCCATCGTATTGGTTATCCTTCGAACTGAATCCTCAAACTCAGGCTGAATCCTCAGGCTAAGAGGGTCCAGAGAAAGGAGCACTGGGCCCTACCACAGGTTGGATGCCACCCCTCCACACCCCAAATCTGTCAGCTAAAGAGAACCGCGATTGATTCTGCTCTTGCTGGGAGTCCTTTGAAGCGGTCCTTAAGAACTGAGAAATTGTTGCCTTCCTTCCCACCTTGTGAGTGTGGTCATTCTTCATTAGTTCTGTGAAAATCCTACTTCTATCCTGATGGAGAACACATTTCTTTTCATTTTGACTCATTCAATGCCTTGCACTTGCACCAAGACAAAATCAGTTGCAGTTCACAGTGTGGACTGTTAATCGATAATCCTTATAGAATGAGGATAAACATCCAAGCCCATCTCATCATACTCTTCTGTTAATTTCCCCAGAACAGTTCTTCCCTCCCAAAGACATCACAGAAATATAATTGTAACAGCTAACAAAATCTCATTTCAAAATGATGCAAAAACACAAAACGAAGGGAATTTTAAGTGTACATTGCATTGCTTTTCTTGTGTCATTCTAAGATTGTCAAGGATTTCATACCATAATGTTTACATCATATAAGTAAGGTCTCCTTTGACAAGCAAAGGAGCTTTTCCCCAAGATTGTTGGAAAGTTTAGGATTTCTGCTATACCAAGAGACAGATTGTTGTGCATGCAAATGGATACGCTGGCATGGAAGTTGTAACACCACGTGGCGGAGTGAAGGCACTATCTCCTCCTTTCCCCATAGGAGACACACTGGGCTCAGCCATGATGTGGGTGCCCTGAGTTCCCTTCTCTTTGGGTGGCTGAGGAGCAGAGGGCTCTTTATATCAAAATGAATGGCCCACGTAGGGCCACGATTTTTGCCTCATGAACCCTGGGCTCTGATGCAAGCAGGCAGGCTGGCACAGAGCAGTCAGTACCCAGATCCTGGCTCTGTGCTCCGTCAGAATAAGGGAAATTTCTACCTCTTCTGAACCCCAGAGACACAGGGCAAGCAAAATCCAGGTCAGGCCTTCTCTGAACAGACACCTTGTCTGAAAGGCTGAGTGCGTAGGATGCTGCTGGGCAAGGGATCAGCTATTAAAGGAAATTCTACTCTAGCGTGTGGTTTCTCCGTCTTGGCACTCGATGGTATTTTGGCTGGATAACTGCTTGTGGTGGGGGCTGTCCTGTGCCCTGGGGATGTGTGTGGCAGCATCTCTGGTTACTACCTGCCAGGTGCCGGTAGCACTACACACCCCACCACCAAATTGTGACAATCAAAAACTTCTCGGGGCGCCTAGGTGGCTCAGTTGGTTAAACATCTGACTCTTAATTTCGGCTTGGGTCATGATCTCAACGGTTGTGAGATCGAGCCCTGCATCAAACTCTGCGCTGAGCGTGGAACCTGCTTGAGATTCTCTCTCTCCTCCTCTGCCCCTCCCTGCTTGCATGCATGTGTGCGCTCTCTCTTTCAAAATAAATAAATAAACTTAAAAAAACCTTCTCCATTCTTTGCCAAGTGTTGCCTGGGGATACAATAGCCTCCATGTGAGAAGCACTGCCCTAGTTCTTGTCAGAGAGGCTGGGGAGAAAGGAGGCCAGAAGGAGAAGGGAAAGGTGAACACAAAGAAAGTGCGTGACACAGCACAGTTACTCAAGAAGCTTCCAGCTTTGCTTTCCCACTCCTCATTTTGCCACTCAGTTATTCTCTAAAGATCCAGTATCCCTACTCTTCGTCCTCTGCCATCTCTTACTTGGCATCATGGCTGCCTTTGGACTTCTGGTGAAGCCCAAGATTGTTAAATAGATGACCACGAAGTTTATCAGGCACCAGTCAGACCGATGTGTCAAAATTAAGTGCAACTGGCAGAACCCTAGAGGCATTGACAACAGGATGTGCAGAAGATTCAAGGGCCAGATCTTGATGGCCAACGTTCGCTATGGAAGCAACAAGAAAACAAAGCACATGCTGGCCAGTGGTTCCAGAAGTTCCTAGTCCACAGCATCAAGAAGCTTGAATTGTGGCTGATGTGCAACAAATCTTACTGTGCAGAGATTGCTCACAATGCCTCCTCCAAGAGCCACAGAGCTGTTGGGGAAAGAGCAGCCCAGCTGGCCCTCAGAGTCACCAACCCCGATGCCAGGCTGCACAGCGAAGAAAATGAATAGACTGCTTATGTGCACATCGTATTAGTGTTAATAATACCATAAAACTACAAGAAAAAAAATCCAGTAGGTCTGAGAGAAAGGAAGAGGATTCTGGGCCACTAGACAGAGCAGACCGCTTTGTGCAGCCCAGGCAGGAGGATGGATGCGTCTTCCAGAGAAAGGATGCAAATACAAGCTCTGAAACATCAGGAAAATCCCGTTAGACAGGAAAAGGTTTGTGACTAAGCCATGATTTCCCTTTCTTCTCCTTCAGTCCTTTGTGACTTGCTGAGCAGTGAGGAATACTCTAGGTCTCTTTGGTTCCCAGATGTGATATCACATTAACAGATTTCTTCTAGACATCCCAAAGAACTTTCCATGAAGCATAAATCCTCTGGATGTTATAGATGGAGGTGTAAGGTAAACTGAGCTGAGTTATATATTCAAGTCACAGATCTAACTCTTTGTATTTAGTCCTGGGCAACAAGACCTTCAGATCTCAGGCCCATAAGATGTATGATTTTCCCTGTTCCTACCTCTTAAATTGTAAGACACTTTACCCCAGGAATGAGCCTGGATGCTACCCAGAAAGGCATCCATTAGCAAGTAATGCCTTGTAGAAAGCAGGGCAGAGACAGTTTGCCAATGGCCTTTACTTCTGTCCCCTTCCCATTCTGCAATGTCTACATTATATTTAGCATATGGCATCTGTGGCTTCCATGTTGGCATGGGAGCATATGGATCTTTAGCATCCAGGGAAGGAGCCTCATGATCAAGGTTAAGTCTTTTTACTTGATCATTTGGTCACGTAGAAAGACTGACCAAATGATCAGGTGTCCCGTGATGGGGGTGTCCATACCTGGCTTAGCAGAGCTGCGAAAGAGGATTCTTTCTCTGGGTGTATATTTTCTGGAGTGGGTGGGCTCCAAGACCAGCTAAATTAGGCCTGGCCCAAGCCCCTTTAGCCAATTTTTCAGGGTCAACAGGAACAACTGTTCTTCCCACTCCCAGGGACCGTTAAAAGAGAGCCCAGGATTCTCAATCACACACCAACCTCATAAGAGGAAGAAGAATAGAGGTAGAAACGATGTTGATCTCTGAACACTACCTAATTCCTCATGAAAAATACCTTACGAGCATCAGTTCTAGAGAATGATGACAAAATTCCCTCAATAGGGAATGGTTTTCCAAAGGAAAACTAAGTCCTCTACAAAATAAAGGCTAGCTTAAAATTCATCACAACTGGTGTTCAATGAAAAAAAAAGGCTAATTTTCCCTTCCATTTAACTAACATGTTTTCCTTCTGCACCTGAAAAATTGTGAAGTATTTTTAAAATCATAAAATATAATAGCAGATCTGAGCTTGTGGGTAAAGCTGCTTAATTTAAGCCCTAGCCTTGAGGCCTCTGTTGCTTGTTTATAATTTCTTCTTTCCACCTGTTCTTTATTTTCTCTCTCCCTCATCATCCACTTGTCTTGGCAGGTTTGCTGCAGGGACATCTTGATGTGGCTTTTGCTGGGCCTGACATAATGGCAGGTGTGGCTTTGACCCCCCCAGCAGGGCCAATCTCAGTGTACTGAGCGTATGCCCCCTTCCGATGACCCTCTCCTGCCACTGCTTGGGTGACAGTCTGCACACCAGGTTTATTTTCCATGGGTCAGTGACTCTCTCCCCATTGCCTTTCTAACTTCTATTTCTTCCTGCATCAAACCAAGGTCACACACAGATCTGGAATGAAGGGCAAAGCTTTTTGTGTCAGGTTGATTCTCTTGGCTGGAAGAGGTGTAGATAATGGAGCTTAGAATCCAATGGCTGGTGATGAAAGTAGGATGGAAAAGACTGAATGGTATGATAAAGAAGGAAAAAGAAACCTCTTGAAGAAATCATCACCCTCTGTTTCAGCTTTAAGAAATGGTTTCCCAGGGGCGCCTGGGTGGTTCAGTCAGTTAAGTGGCCAACTTTGGCTCAGGTCATGATCTCGCAGTTCATGAGTTCAAGCCCTACGTCAGGCTCTGTGCTGACAGCTCAGAGCCTGGAGCCTGCTTCAGATTCTGTGTCTCCCTCTCTCTCTGCCCCTCCCTTGCTCATGCTTTATCTCTCTGTCTCTCAAAAAAAAAAAAAATTTAAAAAAATGATTTCCCGGAAACAAATATAATATAAAACGGGGGGGGGGGCAAAACAGCAGAGACTCATAAATATGGAGAACAAACTGAGGGTTACGGGAGGGGTTGTGGGAGGGGGGATGGGCTAAATGGGTAAGAGGCACTAAGGAATCTACTCCTGAAATCATTGTCGCACTATATGCTAACTAATTTGGATGTAAATTTAAAAAAAATAAAAATAAAACAAGTTAATAAAAAAAATGGTTTCCCAAGCCACTCTCTACCCTCCTTGAAATTAGTATGAATCAACTTCTCTGGTTGTTACTTGAAAGGGACAGGGTACACAGGCTCTGTTACAGAGATCTGCCTCGTAATGCATCCTGAAACAGAATGCTTTATTAAACGAGGCTACCCTTTCACTAATTGTGGGAAGTTTCAGAGAGCGAATTCCCTTATTCGGAATCTTTATTCCTTTGTTCCACATGATCCATACATCTTCTGTGTAGGATTACAGTAGGAGTACTGGCTAAATGTCATCCCTGTTCATCCTCTTTCTGAACACAAATAACTATTGTTCAAGCATGAAGTAGTTGCTTGGAAGCATGGTCAGTGGTCATGTATAGTCACACTCATTCTTTTGATCAATCTAACTCATTTAACCTAAGCAGAAACACAGACTAGGTATTTAATTGTTCCTAGGTTCATAATGAGGCATTGCATATCAGAAGAAAAACCACAAAGAAAGGTTGAAATATCACATACCAGGAGAAAATATCCCATCGCCGGAGCCCCCAGGCCAGCCAATGATTTCTCTCATTTTTTTCAGCGTGACATATTCCAAGAGCACAAATACTGGAGCAATTTCATAGGTGAACCTGAAATGTAGTAATGGTCACATTTTATGTATGGAACTCAAAGAAATAATTCATCGTCACAACACGTATAGAACTACTGTATTTCCTTTTTCAAGCCCTACATTCACCGAAGTTTTGATTATAGCATTAAGCAGACAGAAAATTACATCTTCTAAAAGGCTGCTCATTTTCCTATATTCCTAAAGTTAGGAGCTTCAATTATTGGCTTCATGCCTAAGGGTCACTTATCAAATGAATAAACAAAAAACATTGCAGAGTAATTCTATTTAAAAAAACAGCATCTGGTCCCATTTCTCTTTCATATTATATATAATTATAAATCCCAAATGCCAAAAAAAGTGCCTTTTGTGTTTGAAAAATGTTGTATAGCTTTGATTGCATGAAAGATGTATCAGGACTTCAGTTAGATTGAACACCCGTATACTTCTGAAGTTGATATCCCTATTTTAGGAGCTAATCGATAAAAAAAGATTTTCACAGGAGAGGCTGAATGAAGACTATGAAATCTCGCTAATAATTATCTTGGATTAAGCAAAACACATTAACAACTCACATATTAGTGTTTGCTGTTGATGTCAGCCAGTCTGCTGCTAATCCAACCATATCCAGTCCCGTGGAAAGTTGATTGAAGTACCTGGGATGCCCTGAAGAAAACGGAGTACCAGAATCAGGACTGCACCAAGTGAAAATAAATGCCTCTCAAACACATGATTTCTCTAGCTAAAGAACCTTGAAAGATCCTTCAGTAATAGGAAATCTATATTCAGAAACCCAACGTGTGTGTGCGTGCACATGTGCGCGCGCACGCGCGCACACACACACACACACACACACGCACACACACACACACACACCAAAGGAGCATTTCATGTAACGAGACAGACTATTTTGGGTTATGGTGTTTCTTAAAACACACTCTAAAAATCTTCCTCTGAACATTATCCTATAAAAAAATAACAAATGTGGTTTGCCATGTGGATGCTAGTTTACCTCCTACCATCCCTTCAGTGTATTTGCAAACTAAAATGCTAGTACAATCCAAAGCTATTCTTGTTTGCACTCATGCTGCTGAAAATCCTTTTTTTGTTGTTGAAGTTGTTCTGGGAATCAGTCATACCATGACATCCGCCAGGCATGCCAACATTCATAATAATATCCGTGACAAATGGCTGATGATTACAAAAGACAAGGCAAAAATGAGAAAATAGGACACTGTTGAATGATTTGCCCTGGATTCAAAAGGTGATGATTGTCTAAAGATGGCATGGACAAATCTAATTCTTGTCAATTCTTTTCTGTCCAAATATTTGATTATAAACAACAGAACTTCTTCATAGTTGTGATTTAAAATAAAGCTGAATACAGTCAGCATCACTGTGTTGTCAACAAGATACGTAAAGATATATTCAATGGACGGATGAGTCCATTAGCAAGGCTTATCTAATTAACTTCTAGATTTCTCTAAGACTCTCTACAGGAGTTGACATCCAAATACTCCTGAGGCCATTATTTAAAATGTGGTGATAAATATCTCGTCAGAATTCCATTCCTTGTCTTGCCCCATAAAAGCCTATCTCTAAATCTGCGATTTGTTTGGCAGCCCACATTTTGGAAGATTATCAATTATGGAAATAGCATCTGATAAAAAGGCATCCGCCACTTATTGGACATCTGTCTGAAGCCTGGGGATGACAGTCTCTCCAGCCAGTATGGGCAAAACAAGATAAAGGAAGGCAATGAGGAAAGCAGGGACAAAAGTCAACACAGAGCTTATCTCTAGTACTGGAGTGCTCCCTTATCAGCCGCGGGCATGTGGCTAGACAATTAGACACTGAGAAAAGATAGGGGCTGGGAAAGGGCACATTTCAAAGAGACTGGGATTTGTGTGGCTCTCGCTCATTCTCCAGCATTGTTTTGCCTCCCTGTGGCACGGTGCCCTTCTACCTTTTCGCTCCTTACCAGGCCCTCTGCAGCTGACCCCGTCAGTTTATGCATCCACAGAAAGTGAGAAAGCCCCTTTGCTGCTGCGGGCGCTGTCTGGAACAACCCTCTCCTGTCTCTGCCTCATTGACTCCCCATTTCATTAAAGCTCACAGCTGAAGTCACAGCCGCTTCTCCCCTCCCGATGCCCCTTCATTTCTCTTTCCCTGAGCCATTTCTTTAAAGTGAGGAAAATAATAACGATTAGCAAATCAATCCGTTAATCTACTCTCCCAGTTCATATGCATTTTCTGGATGAATCTGGTGTCCATTATCACACACTGTTTAACTCTCTAGAAACTTTGGCATGAAAACCTCTGCATAAAATGGAGAGAAATTTCAAGGTGCATGTGGGTTCCCAGGATATCAAAAGGTCAATTCATCCTGATGACTGCCTTTGGAAAACTGTGAAACAAGTTTGATATTTCAAGCTTGACTCTCTTCTCCTATATTTTTTTGACCTTGGTCTCCCATTTCACCTGAATCTCTCCTCCTCAAAATTTTCATTCATTGATAGTGATGTGAAAATATGGAAAGAGATAGTTTGCCAGGTTAGAACAACGTGTTCTCTTGATTTCTGCAGAAGTATGCTACAGAAATATTCTATTTGCTCTCTTCCTGTGACCCCTGAAGGCCGCTAGGCAATCCAGGCAGGGCTTTTGGAAAGAAAGGGTGTAAAAGTACCACCTGGGAGGCTGCCAGCTGTCCCTGTGCATGCCTTCCGCGGCTGCCACCACCCCCACCGGGCCCGGAATCGGTGGCCACACGCAGTCGCAGCCAGGGAGGCAGTGAGGGGGGAATGTGAGATTAGAGCTGCTGGCGCCTCTGGAATGCTCCAGCTGGGAAGGATGTGCAGGCTATGGGAGCCACGGCCCCAGGCAGCTCAAACCCTCTCGTCCACAATCAGATGGGGAGGGCCCCAAAGTCGGTCCAAACTGCTCTCCCGGTACCTGCAGCGCACAGCCAAGGACGGCCTCATTTATTGATGCTTCAATTTCTTTGTCTGATGGTTCCGTAGAAAGACTCAAGACAACATTAACCCTTGCACTCCCCAACCACCACCACCACCACCACCACCACCACCACCAAAGTCCAATGACCCCTGAAAATCTTAATTATTCCAGAATTCTATTATTCTCTGCAGTTTTCAGTTTTCTGTTCCAACAGTTCCTACAGGGGTAATTTTAAAAACACATGAAGACTTCATTTGAAAGTATTTCCCCACTGGCTCTCATGCCTCTCCATCCTTGGAGGCCAGGTGGAAATTAGATTAAGGACTCTCAGTAGAAAGCAGGTGATAACATATTTTATAAAAGCATCTCCTGAGGTACACTAAAATGCCTAACAGTCATAGGGATGGTAACTATTTTACAGACCCTAAATATTACTAGCTGTCAAATACCAGGTATAGCATAAAAACCTGTAAATTTGCAAGTCAAAAAAAGAGGAGGTGACCAGTGTTAATTCTTTGAAATTCTATTTGGGAGTGAAACGGGAAGACCAGAAGACTACATCTGCTATAAATAATTATTGATATTGATGCTTAGAAATTCAACTTCATCATATTTTCCTCTGAACTTTAAATGCATTAGATCTCCACTTGACCAACAGTTTCAAAAGCATTATTGGCAAAATATAAATATTGAATTGGTCCATCTTCTCCTGACACTAACTGAAACATTGACCGAATGATGACTTTCACTGATTTGCAATTCCCATGGTCTTAACTCTTTAAATTGCTTTTCAGACATCACCAGCTTTTAAGGATGAAGATGTAAAACACTTTTATAGGTACGTTTTGGTTTGGTGGCAATAAAAATAATAGGGAGCAGCCTACTATTAAGATATTTAAATATTAGGTTAGGGAATAGGTCAAACAAAAATGAATTAAAAGCACTATTCATATTTGCACTGCAGATACATAAAAAGCTGGGAAGAGGAACATTTTTAATGCATAGTATATACACATTCTGTGGATTCTCTGTGAACATAACTGAGAATGCGACCTAATAAGCCTTCAAAATTCATATCCCACAGACCGAGTGTGATAGAAATCACCAGGTTAAATTCCTTTCCCTAGTATCTGGTTCCAAGTCTACAGTCTCACAAAAGTAGATATTAATAATACGGTAAATTGATTTCCCAAGGCTTCTTCTCTGCATACTTTCCCTCTCAGTTGGTATACCGAATGCAAAAACAAAAACAAAAACAGTAGCTTAAAGCCACACAGCAAACACTCTTAAAATGTTTGTTGTTGATTAGAGTAATACCAATAATTAATTAACCAAAAAATTTGCAACATAAAAAGATCAAGTTCCTGTGGTAATTAATATTCATGTGACATTTTTATTTGCTAGCAGAGCTTTTTAAGGTTACATATCAGTTTAGATCCACAAGGTATTCTTCCCCTCCTAAAAGTCATTCATACTTATTTTTATTGCTTTAATGAAGTGTAGTGCCATCATGCATCAGCATGATTAGAGACAATGCAGGAAGAGAAGGGGTAATCACGATTGGATTGGGAGAGATGACTAGCGACTTTGTGTAGACAAAATGAAAGCTTAGAACGTGCCCAAATAAACATTACACCTGGGACTACAAAATGGATAAAGTGTGAAGAATACTGTGAAAAAGCAATAAATACAAAATACATTTTAAAATAAGGATATCTGATTCCCCTCCCCCACCCACTTTCTTTTTTTATATACGGAATGGCTGAGAAGCACAGATCCTTATATAACATGGCTGAATTGTTATGCTAGTTTGTATTGTGTTTTCTTTTGTGTACATTTCTTTAAAAATAGAGAAATCCTGGGGTTCAAATATGAAGTCCTGGACATTTGAGACAATGCCAAAATATTATCCCTCTGTCAGTGATTACATGGGATGGTTTGTCCAATGCCTGACCATTCCTATGCCATGGAAATTACTAGCACTCCTCTAGTATTTGGGCTTTTGTTTGGATCATGCCTTTTGAGCTTCCATTTCCATATTCCCTTTCTTTCTCCATTTTGAGTCACTTCTACTGGCCTCTGCTGACAAATGGTTGCTTCTACATCAGTGGTTAATCTCCGTGGCCCAATACGTGCAATGTAAAATCTGATGATTTATACTTAATACATTTATAATGTTTCTGACATTATCAACTTCAGAAGCATTAACATTAATAGTAAAGGGTACCTTTCTTTGTTTTATATCGTTCTAATAATGACTTTTTTTAGTGATGAAAATAACTTTGCAAATTTGAAAATACCAGTAACACCATCAAACAGAAAAATGTTTATATAAAAATAAAAATTGTAAAAGAAAAAGAGCTTTATTATTTTTGATTGGACAATACCTGTTTTTATTGCATATTTTAGAGTCGTTTGGCAATGCATCAAAATTTCCTCCAAATTTTGTGGTTGGTCTGCCAATTCCCAGTTATACTCTTGCAGGAGCTCATTAGGGTAATGGAAATCAATCACTTTGGTTGATCTGTCGAAACTTTTCACCACATACTGAAGCAAAATGCCCATTACATCTTGCAGAAACGCCAAAGTGGGCCTTTCTCCATCACAGGCTGGCAGCAGGTCTAAAAAATGGAATCAAAATGTCACATTTTAATTTTATCGTGAAAATGTCCAGGCAAGGTCTTGATTCGGCAATTTCTCTTTGGCCTGAGAGATTTTGTGTTAAAAAAAAAAAAAATCTTCAGGAAACGCAGAGCATTTTCTTTAAAAGGGAGGTATTTTTCAACGATAAAGGAATAAGAGAAATTGCGATTTCTCCCACACCCCAAATTAATCCTTGTATTTCAATCCATGACGTATTTACTTTCTTTTTTTAAAAAGGAGTGTGCCTCCATTCATCTATTGCAGAGGGGTTTGTCCTAAATGTTGTATCTGAGTAAATCATCTTAAGTGGTTATGGAAATACGTCACATCAGAAATGTTTGAGGAATGCCTTTGGGCAACTCAGACAAAGTGGAGCATGCAATGTTAAGGTCTCTGGCCTATTACGTTAGCTCGGTATTTCCTAAGTCTGTGTGTGCGTGTGTGTGTGTGTGTGTGTGTGTGTGCGCGCGCGCGCGCGCGCGCGCGCGCATGTTTAGGTGACTGGGTGGGTAAACGCAAAGAACTAAAACCTTGCGCAGGTCTCACCCGAATCGAATAGTTCCCCTGTGAAACTGCAGCTACGAATTACTCTTTCGATCTAAAGACCTAGAAAGTCTCAGCAATTCTGAACGGGAAACCAAGTCCTATCGGTTTCAGTCGCACCAAGAAGCCGACCTCGAGGTCCAGCGCTCCAGGGGGCCTCTGCCAGCCGCAGACCCGAAGGCAGCACTGGAGCATGAACGCCGCGGCTCCAGAATCCCCTCGTAACGCCCGCGCCCAGCGCCACGTAGAGGCCGGGTCCGGGTTCAGACCCGTCGTACCTCGCTTTCAGCTGAAGATTCTTGCGAAGTCCGCCCCTTCCCTGCCTCTCCACGCCTCGGGTCAGGCCCCTGGCACTGAGTCCCTTCTGGCCGCGGTGGGTGGGACCGAGCCAGGGGCCGTGGCTCTCGGGGGCCCCGCGAGGCGCCTTTACCTGTTGCGTGTAGAAACGCATAGTTGACATCCGCTTTGGGGCAGCTGCAAGGCTTCTGGTTACAGGCACAGGTGGCCTTCCGGGAGGTGGCCCGCGCGGGCTGGCTCCCTCCACTCTCTGCCGGCTTCTCTGAATCCCCGTAGAGCAGGGCTAGGCAAGGACAGGGAACGCGTTGGTCAGCCGCCCGCCTGGCCCGGCTGCATCGCCCCTGCCCACTCCCGGCCAGGAAACCTCCACTCCGCTGTTGGGGATGCGGAGGTGAGAAGGTGACATTGCCCCCGCGGGACTGGCCTTGTCCGATTCCCTTCCCCGGCACTTGCACTCACCGCACAGCTTGTTTCCGATGCCGCCCGTGAACTTCTGGGCCACCTGACACCAGGCTCTCGCTGCAAGGAAAGACAGGCAGGAGGACAGCGAGTCAGAAAGACAACAGCAGACGGACGTGTGAAATTTCGTTCTGTGGGAACAACGGCAATAAGCCTGGGGTCCGGAAAGGGGCTGCCTGGGGCTCCGCACAAAGGGCGGGTGCAGGAGGGGTGCGGGAGCCTGGTGGCCCGGCCCAGCCCGACCTTAGGTTCGCTGATTTGTTTCCAAGAGAAGCCCATACTTCAGCCCTTTTACACTTGCCTTCCAGGTGCCAATAGGTTCGGCCAAACTCCCCTTTCTGCCTTGGTCCGGCGAGTTTTCCTAGATACCGAAGCTGTCCGTTGGCTCTCCTTCCAGACCAAGAATTCTCTCTTTTCCATTTATTTTTCCTTTTCCCACAGCCACTCTATCCCTCTACAGGTCCAGACACCAAGATGGTGGCAGTGCCCCAGGCCCACGGAATTCGGTGTCGAGGGGACGGGTCTGTGTTTGGGGAGCTCTCCCAGACTTCACTGAAAAGGGCTTGTGATTCTTTGGGTGTCTTTCCAAGGGATAAGGGCCCGTGGGGTTTTGGTCTCTTGGGCCATCAGGGATCTACACCGAGAGCAGGGTGAAGTGTCCCAAGTTTCCTGTTGCAGGTGGAAAAACCGCTCCCGTCTTCCCTCGCCCCGCAAACCCCAGTCCACCCGCAAAGCTCGCCTGCTGCAGGCCCCGGTTCCCCTACCTGTGCCGGGGTTCTCGGGATCCCCGGAGCCATCTTCAGACCCGAAGGACCAAAAGCCTGAGCCTGGAGTTGCCATCAGCGCCGTGAGACTGGAGCAAGTCGCCTCCGAGTGCGAACTGTCAGCAAGCTGCCCTCGGCTCGGTCCTGAGCGCGCGTGCGTGCGTGAGTGTGGCGGGAGGAGGGCACCGCGCGGGGACCCGCGCAGCCGTGCGGCAGAGGGTGGGTGTCACACTGGGACAGGAAACGTGCGTGTGTGTGCGTGTGTGTGTGGGGGGGGGGGATTAGGGTTTAGAGACGTGGCAACTCTCTGAAAGCTGAGGTTGAATAGGGATGGAGACCAAAGGGTCCGCGCAGCCAGGGTATGGGAAAGCGCCGAGCACCCGACTGCATTTGAAGGAGGAGTCCAACCCGGATGGATGAGGGGGCGGCGGAGAGAAAAAAATGGGAGAGGGAGGATGCGAGGCAGACAGCGCGAACGCACTGGAGTCAGAGCGTGTGGGTGGGAGGCGTGCGGGCGAGCCCCTGGGGAGAGCGAGGCGGGGGGCAGGCGGGCAGTCCCCGCGGGCCTGGGAGCGCTGTCCAGAGTGCTAACGCTGCTGCCTGCGCGCTGGCTTCAGCGAGGCGGAGAGGGTGGCCCGATGAGTCTCATATAAGCATCGATTGGCGTATTGTTTGAGGTCTGGCTCCTGCTGCCGGGAAGGAGGCACGATTTCCGCGCCGCCTTCCTGCAAGACGGTGCTGAGGTCGCTGTGACCTCGAGAGCCTCGGCGGCTGGGCTGGAATCACGAGCGGTTCGTGAGCTTGGGGAGGGGACGGTGGGGGAAGGGCGCCTACGTACTGAAGGGCCCATTTCGGCTCCTTGGGCTAGACTGACGCCTTCCTACTGAGCCGCGCGGCGGTCCGGAGCGCGTCATTCCTGTGCTTCGGGGAGCGCAGTCGCCGGGCCCACCGTCCAGGATCTGACTGACTGATGGGAGAAAGACTGCTGATTGAGGCAATTAAAATCCATGCAGGAGCCTATCACCGAGGACCTCGGGTTGGGGAAAAAAATAATAAAGGGAATGGAAACTTCTTGGAGGGGGACGAGGGAGAGGAACTAGAGTCGTCAGGATTGACGGCTGATGGGGGATGGGATCGGGTCGTTTGGTGACCTTGGCCTGCGGAGGCGTGGAAGGTTTTGCTGCTTTCGTGTGACCAGAATCGATATGTGCGTGGGAGACCTGCATAGAGTTTCCAACTAGGCAATCTGAGCTTTCCAAATCCGAGGCGGAAAGAAGGCATCGCCTGCTGGGCCCTCGAGTCAGAGGGTCTCAAATCAATGATCTGTCCATCCCACCCTCCGAAAATCTAAATGATACCGGGGAATTGGAGGTGGGGTGGGGTGGGGGGCGAGATTCACTCTTTCTGAGGCCTGGTGAGAAGGGCTTTCTTCTTTCCCTAGAAAGTCAGAATCTCTCCTCTCTTACCATATCCTTTCTCTAAAAGCTGTTAAACAAAGGGAAGGCGTCCTGAGAGTTTGGGCCGCGTCGAGTTGGCGTTGCTTCCCCTTGATAGCGGAGGTCAGAGTCAAGTACACCTTGCGGGCTCCTGGGCTCTCAGAGAGAGTGCGAGGAAGACCCTGGTCGGGAAGGGTTGCATCCCGCCTTCTGCCGCGTGCATTCCCTTGGGCGAGCGTTATTCATTTCCACTCTGTTCATAAGCCCTTATTTCTCTGACTTCCTGAGTCAAGTTATTAAAGCTGCTGCCGAAGCAGAGACTCATCCTCAGTCTTGGCTCCCTCCCCTCGACCCTCACTTAAGGGCGTCGTGGGGCCCAAGGTGGCCGCATACAAGCCCAAATCCTGTGTCCCCGGACACGCGGGGGCCTGGTAAATTATTTCCATGAAGCTTTGTCTTCTTCTCACGTGCCCGAGCCGGGAGGAGTAGTAGGATCTTCACCGCGGCCTCGGAGCGGTGTCTGGGAATGGCGCTGGCCAGGTCCTGCGGTAGGCTTGGCGCAAAGCCCTAGGTGTTGAGAAGCCTGAATCGGGCTGCCAGTGCTTGGCGGGCGTGAACCCAGGCCTCAGTCTGGCCCCTCCGTCCGGCACCCTTGGCTTCAGTGGACCCAGGTAACAACGCCAGGGTGTAAAGCCTTCCTGGTTCGGCCGTATGCGCACGGGCAGGGAAGCTCCGCAGCTCTCGCTCCAGCAGCGCAGATGCGGGTCGGAGAGACTAGTTCTTTGTTTAAATTCACACCAAATCCTGCTAATGTTTTGCTTCAACCCACCAGCCTGGGGTTGCAGAACTATTCTGCTATGGATAAGTGGTCGAAAACATAAAGATTCTTTAAAACAAGAGTTCAAAACACAAATCTTCAAGGAAGAAACGGATTAAAATACAAGGCGGGTAGAAACCACAACACCTGCATTTAACTTTTTTTTTTTTTAACGGGACTTAAAATCCTGCTGTTTAAACTGAATTAAATCCCGCAGCTCTGGAATACTTTGAATCTAATGGTGGTATTTACATTTTTTTATTTAACACACCCTACTTCAAATGCACTCAGGGATCTGATTTGTCTTTCCTTAACGTGGTCCCTCCCTAGACGGCAATTTGCTTCATAAAGACTTTCATTTCGCATAGGAGCCCACTCCCCCCACTCTTCGGTTTGGCGTTGGAGATAACAAAAGAGCTCGGGGAGGTAATAATTACAGTCATTAGTTCACAAAGGAGGCAGCCACCGAATGGGAAGGGGAGGCAGCCAGCGTTCAGGGGAAAAGCTTTCGAAGCCTCTTCCTCAAATAGGGGGTGGGTTGGGGTGGGGGTGGGGGGGATAAACCCAGGCTCCAGAGGATACCCTCCCGGGCAGGTTTCCTCGGTTGACCTATTTCTTGTCCGTGGTTTACCCAGAGATCGCATTGCAGGCCTACCAGTGAAGAATGTCCGGTACAATTTTCCCCTTGTGTCTTCCCAGTGCCTCAATGTCGAAGGACAGAAAGAAAAAAAGAAAAAAAAGGAAAAAGAAAGAAAGAAAGAAAGAAAGAAAGAAAGAAAAGGAGATGTAAAAAAAAGGGAGAAAGAAAAAGAGAAAACAAAGAAACACAAAAGGAAAGGAGAAATAAAAACACTGAAACCTTTCACTAAGCGTTTCCCATTCCTTTAATCTCACTTAAAAAGTGGGTGGGGAGTTTAGGGAGGGAGCCTACTGCCTCCCAATCCAGAACCTAAGGGCCGGACTGCCAGGGCTCTGGTCTACACAGGCCACTTCAAAAGCTTTAAGAAGGGGCTTGCCTGGTAGCGACGCGGAGCTCAGCTTTGCGCCGCAAGGGCCTCGTGGTGGTAGGTGGTAGGTGGATGGGTAGGTTGCGGCGGAGGGACTCGGTTCACCTCGGGGTCCAGAATCCCTCTCTCCCCCTCGGCCGGGGTCCAGAATCCCTCTCTCCCCCTCGGCCGTATACAGTGCCCCGCGGCGCTGGTTTCACCGGTGCCTGAGCTAGGCCCAGCCTGCAGCAAGTCACAAACCAGCCGTCGGTCTGCAGGGCTGAGCCCCAGCGGAGGCCGCAAGGAGAACCCGGGGAAGGTGCAGGGCCTACAGCGCCCTTGAACTCTGAGCTCGATCCGGCCACTGTGGGAGGTTTCGCCTCTCGGGGGGTCTCCTCTGTAAAATGAAGAGGTTGTAGGAGCATCTCTGGGGGACCTTTCGGCGTCAACATTTTTGGTTGGAGAGTACTTAACTTCTGATGAGCAAGCGGCTAACGAACGTCCACCCGTCCTCACTCAATCCAGTCTTCTGGCTTCGGGCCCCGCACGCGAGGGACACCAGCAAGAGGAACAAGCCCTATCCCAGCCAGAACCCTCCTCCCAGTTCAGTCGTCCGTGAAATCACCTCGTCATCCTTCCGCGCGCTCTTCAGACCCCGTGGACAACGGAGGGTGTCAGTTCCATAGAAGGGCTCAACCCAGGTTCTAAACTAAGACGCCATCAACTGAGAAAAACCTCTCTGCCTACCCATTGCCCATCCCTCTTACATACGCCAAAATTTGGCGCCGAGATTGCCCCAAATCTTCAGACTAGAAGAACCTAAAAAGCCCAACAGTTAGCTCAGTGGTGGGACCAAAGGTGTGTGTGTGCGCGCGCGCGCGCAGTGTGTGTGTGTGGGGTTTGGGGATTTGTCTGCAGGTCACGTTTGCGCCGCAAGACTCAGGTTTTTAACTTAGTATGTTTGTTTGGGATGTCTGGAGGCGATGGAGGAGACAGAAGGCACCGTCACTTCCTTGCCTGGGCACCTGCACCCGCACAGGTGGACAGCAGGAGTCTAGCCCTAAAGGGGAATATGGCGTACCAGCCCCGAAAGCCACGGACTTTCCAAGGCACTTCCTTTATTTAATAACCTCAATAACCAAGGGAAGGGAAAGCGCGAGTTTGAGAAGGAGTTCATCTTCAAAGCTTCCCCCACCCTCGCCTCTTCTCCCACCGGGCTTTGTTTTACTCGCCCCTCCAGTGTCCCGCAGGCCTGGGAGGGCGGTTTCCAAGGAAAAAGGAATCTTTGAAGTCTTCCAAAATGAGAGAGGAGGGATCGGCGAGAGCTCAGGCGCAGTCGGGTCCACAGGAGTCTCAAATGAGTGAACAAAGAGATACACTGGGGGCCAGGGATAGGGATGCCCCAGCTGGCGGGCTGGTGGGAGTGCAGGGTGCCGGAGTGCCGAGACGCGGCATCCAAGGCTCTCACTTCTCCTCCTCCTTCGGTGAGGCTGGCCCTGACACTCGAGAGGCGAGCGCAGCGGGCGGCCCCTGCCATGGTCAGGGCCGGGGCATCAGCGCCTGGTCGTGCCAGCGCCCGGGCTTTGGCTCCTGCAACCCCGCAGTCTCGCGCACATTCCCACCGCGGTGGCCTCCGCCAGCCGGGCTACACCTGCTGCACGAGGCGCTGCCGCTGGGAGGTCTTGCGCAGGAGCCTCCTGTAGTCGTAGGGATTGGTTGCGGGCCCATTTTCCTCCAGCCCCTGGTTCTCCTCCGCCCAGCACCTGCAGTGAGACCCAGGGCCCGAAAGTCAGCGGCGCCAGAGCGCAGCGCAGCCCCGCCCATCCCGTTAGGCGGTTCTATTCCTCCCACTCCCCCCAACTACAGGCATTTAAGAAGGGCACATTCAAAACATCAGGAGAAAGGCCAAACGCAGCTGCATAATTTTCTCAGCAGATTTTCAATTTTCCCCAAGCAGACGGGGGGTGGGGGGTGGGGGGGGGAGGGTGACTGTGTTTGGATGACAGCTAAGTAAGGTGTCAGAAGGTGCAGTTGAGACAGGCGAGCTTCCTTTGGTTTGAAGTAACTCACAACCAATAAATAAATATTTTAGTACCTTAATTTTTAACCCATTTTATTCAAACAGGAAAATTCGAAGTGCCTAAATAGACAACCATCATTTCTCATCTTAAAACCACTCAAATGTTTCTCTCCAACACTCCTTCCAAACCTGATCAACCAGTTAGCTGTGGGTCCTGTCAGCTCTCTCAGTGAGGCTGTTGGGCCACCTTTCCCGAAGGTAGAGTTGGGAAACCCCACCCACTTTACCTCTAGATTCTGTAACTTGCCTGGAGAAGAAGGGTGCTCCCTATGCAGCCACATAGGTGCATTCATTTACTTATGTGGCACCTACTAAGTATTAGCCATTAGTGTAGGCTAAAGGTGAACAAAAACCCTCATTCCCATGGAGTTTAATCTAGTGTGGGAGAGGGCTATAGACAACCTTAATATGCCAGGTGGTGGCAGGTGCTATGTAGACAAGGCAGGCTAATGAGGAAAAACTGATGGTGTGTGTGTATGTGTGTACATAGGTGCATGTGTGTGTGTGTGTGTGTGTGTGTGTGTATACACAAGGTTACCTTGTTTATCTCTGTTAGATCTTTACTTTCTCTCTAGAGTCAAGCTCTTTGGTGACAGAGATTACATCACATGCACACTGTGTCCACCTCTTCCTCGAGCACCCGGCACAGGGCTTTGCACGGGGAGGCAATACAGGGTAGTGGTGAAAATCATGGACTTTCAACTCAAAAAGGCCTGTGTTCAAATTCTGGCCCCCTCACTTTTTATCTAGGTGACTTTGCAGTCATTAAACTTTTGAGACTTAGCCTTGTCATCTATATAACGGGGCAATGAGAGTGACTGCCTCACAAGGTTGCCATAAGGATGAAGTCAGTGCCCGGCACAATGGCCAGCCCGAAGGAAGCATTCAGCCAACACTAGCTTGTAGCATCCTCATTCTGGTGAATTCCAACTTCACATCCACAGGCACCGCTGGAACGCCAGAAGCTCAGGGATATGATATTTTTCCAGCAGATGTGTGTCTGTGGTTGGGGGAAGGCAGAGAATATACTAGAGAGGAGACAGGCTGGCTTCTTAAAATGGGAAGCAGGTAAGTCAGTGACAAACCTTGGGTTTTAATTCACTGACTCAATGTGGAACCTGGGGCAAGTCATTTAATCTTGCTGGGCACTCGGTAGTCTCCTATGTAGGACCCTGTGATTAGACTAGAGCATCTCTAAGTTCTGGCAATATGTTACAGTTCTTGATCTCAAGATGGAAGAAAGACATTTTCTTTGGAGACAAGGGTCAGAAATCAAGTAGATTCTGGAAAAGCAAATAAAGATGAAAAAGGCCACCATCTCCGGAGCCTCTCCCCTGTGGCACATCTGATGTTGAGTGCTTCACATACATAATTTCACTTAACCTCTATGACAACGTGGTGAGGCAGTTTTTAGTGAATCCTTTCCTAGATGTGGAAACAAGCTTAGAGAGGTCTGGTAATGTGAGCAAGGTCACTCGTCTACCAAGTGGCAGAATCAGGATCCAAATCTAAGACTCTCTGACTCTAAAGCACCAGGTCGCACTGCAAAAGAGACCGTGAGGGGTCTGAGTGCCCTGGGCTGACAGGACGTTCGCTCAGGATTTTGGCAAAACAGCTTTTCGTTGCCTGTCCTTATTCTGGTTTCTCTCTCACATACAATGTTTGCATTTTACTATGTGCCTTCACTTTCAAAACTTCACAAAGAATTTTTTCAGGGAAAACATTTGCAAAGTAGTAAGTGAGCAAAAATGGTTTGAGATACTTAATGTCAAGCAAAGTTAATGGCAAACTGAGAAATCAAATCCAAAATATATACTTCTATGTGAATCTTTCTTCCGGATACTTTTTGGTCTGACATTGCGGATTCTGAGAACATATACAGCATAACTGAGAAACCAGTAAGTGTTTAAAATTCCATTGGTTAGAACTTAAACACAGATTTTGACTTGTTGCCTGTTGCTTGTAATTAGTATGGCCATGTAATTTATCATCCGAAGTGAGGCACTTTTATTTTTTATTTACTTTTTTAAATGTTTATTTATTTTGAGAGAGAGAGACTAAGAGAGAACGAGGAGGGGCAGAGAGAAAGAGGGAGAGAGAGAATCCCAAGCAGACTCCCTGTTGTTAGCACAGAGCCTATTATGGGGCTTGATCCCATGAACCGTGAGTTCATTGACCTAAGCTGAAATCAATAGCCAGCTGCTCAACCGACTGAGCCACCCAGGGGCTCCCAAAGTGAGCTACTTTTAAAAGGGGGCTGCCATTGGGGCACCTGGGTGGCTCAGCTGGTTGAGCGTCTGACTCTTGATTTTGGTTCAGGTCATGATGAGATTGAGCCCCACGTTGGGCTCCATGTTGGGTGTGGCGCCTGCTTAAGATTCTCTCTCTCCCTCTCCCTCTGCTCCTCCCCTGCTTATGTTCTCTCTCTCCCTCTCTCTCAAAAATTAATAAAATAAAATAAAGTAAAAGGGAGTGCTACTAACAGTAACACCAAGAAAACAGGTATAAAACTGGGTTGTCTGAATACCTGACCATAATCCTTACGAGTTTACTTTAAGATAACATATCAATCTTTTTTAAAACATATCAATCTTAAGAGGCAACATTCAGTGAGAATATTTTGTTATAGTCCAAAGACAGAATGGCAGTGCTTTATAAATGGAACTGTGAGTAACACAGGGAACATGCTGTACCTTAGTAGGTAGCGTATTACCTTTCATCAGCATTAAAACATCGATGCTGGTGTTCTCTCTCTTGTCTTCGTTCTCTTAAGCTAGGGTTATGTTCCTTTGGTCCAGAACGACTAGGCAAAAATTCCTTATAATAGAAATCTTCCAAATCTAATAATTTCCCCTGACTGTAAATGAACACATAAACACATCATAGCTTCAGTCTACTTTTCTACTCAAACTTATAGGATATTGTTCTCTTCTTTCATTTAGTATAATTTAGGAGTAACAATTCATGTCAATAGAAACAAGAGAAGTCTTGAAATGCACAAAGACAGTATATACCATAAATTAAAAAAGAAAAAAAAGCCCTCATCTCTCACCTTTAAGAGAGCATTTTCCTGGTTTAATCTCATTCAACTTGGTACAAAATTAGTAGTTACTAGACAGGAGTGATTACAAAGTTCCAGTTTGGCCAGTCTAGGAGAGGGTTCATAACTGGCCCTTGGGCCACTCTGAGAAAACCTTACCTTTATGTATCAACACATAGCATTTTCCAATTTTCTCAGGCATCAGTTAAGTACATGGATGTACACAATGTTTCATGACCTTCTTACTTCCTTCACAGGTAACCTTCTGTCCTTTCCTTACCAGTGGCCTTTAGTGGGTTAATTTCTGGGCTAAATTTTAATTCCTACACATGGCATACACACAGAGGTGTGTCCGTGACCATTTTAATTCCTGGATTTACTCACATTAGTTCTGTGATGCTCAGTACCTGTGGTCTGATGGGACTTCATATGAGGTAAACAGATATAGGTCTAGAAAACTACCAAGCGTTACAGTGTTTCTGGGGAAAAGTGTTTTTCAAGTTACAGATACCAATTTACAAATGAGCTTTCAGAATGCCACCGATACATAAGTCAGGAGTTCAGTGTCCACTCATCTTAGTAGAAGAACCCTCAGTTGTTATTAGCACACTCTGGAAGTCAGTTAATTGAAATAGTGTTATAATGTTAAATTAGTAAAGTATTGGTGGGCTGAAATGTTATAGGAAATGGGGACTAGTGTGAATCTAAGTTGTCACACCTGCAGGTGACACAAACCTTATTTCCTGACAAATCCATAAACATTACAAGGAATGAGATTTAGCATGTGTCAAAGAACAGAAAGCAAAGGGGTTTGGGGAAAGAAAGTTCATGGACATGGGTGTGTTCCAATTTCCTGATCAAAACCAAGAAATGGACCAAGAAAAGCAAATTCTGAATTGGGACAGTACAATTCATTCACAAACTATTTGAGTTCTTAATGTATGCCTCATACTGTGCTAGCTCAACATATTTCCAATAGGTGATATCTTCTAAATTATATATAAACCACATATTCATCATATAAATGTATGAGAGCATGCTACTTTCCAAATCTACACATATGAAATAGGTGATTTTTAAAAAAATAGATGATTTTCAGTCATAATTTGAACACATGGATTTATATTTTGGTTTGATAAGATGACACTGAAATCTAGAAGTAATAATTACCTATCTTTCCTTGGTCTTCGTTTTTCTTCTTGGATTGACTTCTAAAAGCAATAGAAAAAAGTTAAAAATCAGGATATTATGATTAATGTAATGTAACCGATATAATTACTATATTAATATATAAATACATTTGTTCTTATAAAGCCAATTTGGAAATAAGCAAATGGACACAATGTTTTAAAAATCTAATGAAATATAATTCACTCAAATTTTATTAATTATGTATTTGTGATTATGTTTTTACCGGATTGCAAATAATCTTTGCATTCCATGCCGAAAAGAGCTTACCACACAGTGACCAGTATACACAAGATTACCTAAGGTCCATCTACCTATAAATGGGAAAAATTATGTCAGAATTCCTGGAAAACCCATCTCTCCATCACAAATGCGCTGTGCTTTAGGCAAGCTGATTAGGTGGCTTTGACATCTTGCTTATACGTCATCTTTGTCTGCTGGCAAAGCAGGTGGGTGGACAGTGAAGGCAGGTGCAATAGTCCACAAAAGAATGGAAGTGTGACTTACCAAGAGCCCATTTATGGTATAAAAGTAACAGACTAGAGGATACGTATGTTCATTTGTAAAATGTTTTCACGGTTGAGAATTTATGTATCAAGGCAGAAATTAGAATATGTAGGTCTAGATTTAATTAGATACCTTTTAATCAATACTTCAATCTGAACACTAACAAAATGGTACCTTACATACAAAGCAGTATCACCTTTTATATTGTAACATTAGTAATGCATTTCACTGTCAGCTGCCTCAAGATATTTGAGCTCACCTATTACATGTTGCAAGAGCATATGTGTCTTTTAGGCTGAGAGAACAAACAGGACACTCACCTTGAACAAGCTGAAGATACTGTAAGTGTGGAAACCCTAATGCAGATATCAAGTTGGCTGGCACCATAATAAAAATGGCAAGATAATAAAAATGGCAGCTGATAATGGTTTGTAAATATTGAGGGTTTTCTCCAGTATTTTTTAGGCACATTCATTTTTTCTCATGATTTAGCATTTGTAATACACTAAAATGTTGGATAAATCAAACAGTTCATGTTTCACTTATTCTTATTGGTTGGTATTTTAGTGGGTGGATGAGGTAGAAGGAATGCTTAAATGCATCAAGTCTGAGAGTGGACCATTCAAGAAGTAACCATGTTAAGGGGCAGGACATCAATTACATTCATGCCCTCCTTCTCATTTCCTATTACATTCCTGATCCAATGCCTTGGGCTGGGAGGTGCATACAAATAATTATATTACCACGATAGATACAATGGACCCCAGCAGTCTAGTCAATGATCCCTGGAACCCAGGTAGTATTTGTTGTGGTTGTTGTTGTTTTAATATGACAGAGGTCCTTCCTCCTTGATCTGTTATCTGAAAAAAAAATGTCTCTTGTTCTCAGTAACAATTTTCTATAATCCAAAGTTATGCTTAAATGATTGGCACTATGTTGAGTGACAGAGGTCCCCTTTATACCACCACAAATCAAATAACGTTCTGCCCTTGAATTTGCAAGCTGGTAAGGACCATTTTTTATTCTGGACCAGCATTTCCCTCTGGGAAATGGTGTATATAATTTGGTTCCCAGTTACAGGAATTCTTAGAAGAGGAAATACAGTCCGGTCTTCTGCTTTATTTCACTCTTGCCTGTGCTAGAATATTCCAATGAAATGTAATTCATTAATATATTTTCCCCAAAATTATTTAAGGTGGTTTATCACGGAAGCAATTACACAACTAAGGTGATAAAGTAGAAGTTGTAAATGAGGAACAAAGAGGTCAAGAGTGTGTTAGGATGGGGCCTTACATTTGTCTTAGTGTCCTGGCAGCTGGTGCCAAAAGGGAGGTACGAAACTGTACCCTCAAGGGAGAGGACTGAATACTAATTTTACCACCTGGGACTTTATATTAGTGGCGTTTATTGCTAAGACAAACAATGTTTTCAATTATAGTTTTTTTAAAATTTATTTTTATTTATTTATTTCGAGAGAGACAGAGACAGCGTGAGCAGGGGAGGGGCCGAGAGACAGGGAGAGAGAGAGAATCCCAAGCAGGCTCCATACTGTCAGTGTAGAGCCCGATGTAGGGCTCGAGCCCATGAAACCATGGGCTGAAACCAAGAGTCAGACGCTTAACGACTGAACCACCCAGGCACCCCTCGACTGTAGTTTTGAAATTATAAATCACTGACTTGAAATTTGAAATGAAAATAGAGAAGTAAATATCCTGTCAGTTTCTTATAGAACTGAAGAAGAGAGAGAGAGAGAAGGGGTACAAGGAGAAGATATTCTGGGGAGGGTATTTCTTGAGGAGGACTTTGGAAGTCAGAGGTCTTCGCCCGCTGGACTCTGAAGAACCTGTTTCTCAGTTAGCTACACGACAGCCCCTCCCCCCCACTTGACGCAAAGAAATACGTTTATGACAGAACTTAAAAATTCACATCCGTATATCACTCGGTGATCAAAAAGAATGAAATCTTGCCATTTGCAACATGGATGGAACTAGAGTGTATTATGCTAAGCGAAACAAGTCAGAGAAAAATAAATATCATATGATTTCACTCATATGTGGAATTTGAGAAAACAGAGGAACAAAGGGGAAATGAAGGAAAATAAGATAAAAAGAGAGAAGGAAGCAAATCATAAGAGACTTTTAAATATAGAGAACAAATTGAGGGTTGGTGGAGGGGAGGTGGGTAGGGGCTGGGCTAAATGAGTGATGGGCATTAAGGAGGGCACTTGCTGGGATGAGCACTGGGTATTGTGTGTAAGTGATGAATCATTGAACTCTACTCCTGAAATCATTATTACGCTGTTATGTTAACTAACTTGGACTTAAATAAAATTAAAAAATAAAAAATAAAAAAAGGAAGAAATAGAGTAAAATAAAATTCATATTTGCTACATTCTGGTGGATACAATCTTACATTCCTTTTGGAAAAACACTAACACTTTATTTACTTAGGGGGACTCACAAGGATGAAGAAAGTAGCCAAAACATAGAAGGAAAAAAACCCCACACTGGAGCGGCCCAATTACCTACCCCTACTACCTACCTATCAGTTTCGGAAAGGTCCTGGAGAAAAGAGTAAAACCAGAAGGACCTTTGATGGGACTGTGTTTAGTTACTCATTTTGTGAGGGAACTGTTGGCCCCGAGTCACTTTTTGTGATGGCTGCACAGCTCTGCGAGCTGGAGCAGGCACCGAGGGCGGAAACAGGGCGTGCGTGCTCCGCCCAGGTCCTCTGGGCATGCTTCTTAGGCTCAGCTCATCCTGATTTTGGACACAAGGATAGCAACATCTGCTAGATATAAGAGATTAAGAGCATCAACTCTCAGAAGAGTGCTGGTGTTGATTTAAGGCAGAAAATGAAGCAGGGCCAGGAGAATGCAGAGAGATGGGGTGCTACCTCATAAATCTAAATAAATCCAAACGTTTTTGCTCCGTACATTGGCCTTGGGTCATCAAGAAAAGGTTTAACATGTGTAGTATAATAGAAATTTATTTCTATTTCTAAATTTCTAGATTTCTGAAATAGAAATAATTTTAGAGTTTCATGAATGCCATTTGAAATTACAGAAAGTGGGGTTTTTTTTGAAACATAGATCTTTTCATGTGCACGTTATGAATTCATGTTCCTTCTTCAATTCAAATGCTTACCTGAAGTTGTGTATAAATATAAATCTTCACTTGTTGCATACCTCATTCCCTACAGCAACATTCCCTGTGTCCTTGTGTATCTGTATGTGGTTTGGCTGTTTCTTACATGGTTGGGGGGGGTTGGGTGAGGTGTAGCAGTTTTAGGGGTTTTCAATGCCATAACCATTGCTTTCTTTTTCAGGAAGTGTACCCAAATCTTTGCTTCATTTTGTTCAACAGAAATGAGGAGCCTGGTTTGGATTTTAGGTCTTCTCTATTTTGGTTGCAGTGGGTCATGCGACAGATAATATTAAGAATACAAGTCTTCAGCAAGTCTGGAGATTTATAGATGGCACAATCACTTCCTACACATCCATGGTGCTTTCCACCAGTAAGCCGCTCAGGATGGCCAAGGGGAGCTTTCATTTGATATTCAGGGTCAGTCTAACTGCCTGAAAATTTAATATTACGACAAATATTTTAATGAGTCTGAGGCACAGGAGTGTGTGGTCATGTTCCTAAATGACGGCTGCAATCAGCAAGAGTTTTCCATTGCTAGACGATAATCGTGCTTTCAGCAGCAACACGAAAATGAAGTTGGGTTTATTTGTTTTTTCACTGTCATCAGTTGGTGGTTGTACCCACAGGAAAGTAAAGATGCCAATAAAAAAGGCGATTTGTTCTAGTGAAACAATTGCAAACATTCTATGGAAATCCCGCTCCACGATGGAGTCGTCAGGATCAGTGTTCTGGTCTGAATCCTGAAGCGGCCACCGCCTCAGGTACACTTCACAAAGCAAACAAAATATGCAGAGTTTCCCAGGTGTGTTTATTTTAGTCCTGAAAAGAATTCATCTGTAGGTCTGGGCTTTGCATAAAATGGCATTAGTCAAGATGATAACAGGATCATACTCAATATTTGCCTACAGGTGTCTGGTAGGATTCGCAGATGGCTATCTTCAGCACTCCGTGGTTATGGTCTCGGCACTACTCCTTGACCTCTTGGTTGCATTCAGTGCTCCTGTACTGGCAGGAGGCTGCGGCAGCAGGAGGAGTGGGCACCACCCCATCCATGTTCCCCTTGCCCGCCGCCACCCTTTCTGTGTTCTTGCCTGGCCATAGCCCACTCTGCCCACAGGTGCCCATTTCCATGCAACTACAGCCCAGCTAAAATTATAGACAGTGTTTTGATGGTTCAAGGGCATGGGCCCTATCACAGCTACAGATCCCACTATGTGTAATGACCCAAATTTGGATAAGGGCCAGATAAATAGGAATGCATGGTGTGCTGTCATTTATACTAATCTTCTGGTTTTCCATGTTTTATTTTTCACTGAAGCCACAGATTTCAAGAGTCATGGCTATAAACAGAATTCCAGTCACTAGTAATTTGAGATCTATCAAACCCTTTATATTCATTTAAAAAAAGAATAGTACAAAAGTGAAGTAAACTTCTTGAGGGCAGGGACTCATTTGTGAGGCTCAGAATCTGTTGTATGATTCTCACTGAAAGGGTGGTTGTTAGCAATGGACATTTCACCTTATCTCAAGCTCTTATAAATTCTCATATCGAGGATGGCGTCTGTTGTCGAAGCCCTCATGGTCAATTGTCATTTGAGATGTAGTTAATAAAGGTCACTGAGCATCATTTACCACTTATATTCAGGGTTAATAGGGAATGTCTAGTAATTTCTAATCTTGTTCTCTGCTCTTCTCTCTATTTAACTACATAAACAAATGTCAGGCTATCTACTTCCTTCTGGGGGAGGGCAGTGTAGAAAAAAATCTGTAATCAAGATTTTTATCAAGTAACAGCCCAATGCAGCTATCTGGAATTTTCACTTCCTTAATTTACTTCTAGTTGTATTTTACTCAAATTTCATTGCATTCATTTGTGCCACGAATACTTATTGCATGCATACTATGTGGCAGGCTAAATGTAAGGGCAAACTCCTTGACCTCACGGAAACCACATCAATCACTCTTTGGTGGGATACAGCATGGTGACAGGGAAGTATGGGCCACTTAGGAAGGACACAGGAAAAGCTCCTTTGGGATTTGGGAGTGTTAGGAAGGCTTCCTGAAGAAAAAGACATGTAGGCTGGGACGTTTTGTCCCCAGAAAGTGAGAATAGAAAAAGAAGTGGGTTTTAGTCTGAGGACAGAGCATGTTCAGGGACAAATGCCTATGGACAACGTGAAGAACAGGTACAGGCTAACAGGAGGGAATGGCTGTAGTGGAGAGTAAGGAGGGGTGAATGAGTATAAGGAGGTACAGGAAGGTAAAGGAAAGGTAAGCAAGGCCCTGATATTGCCCAGCCCCTCTACCACAGGACACTAGGAAGTGATTACAAGGTTTTCCATCAGAGGGGTGGCATGATCAGACGTTAATTTCAAGAACACAACTCTAGCTACCATGTGAAAGATGCATGAATGAGAAGGGGAGCAAAACAAGAAAAAAGTAAGAGGAGGGATGCAGAAATATCAAGTAGAAATGCTGGCCTGAGGAGGCTGTGGGCTGAGGATGTGGAGAAGAACAGAAATTCAAGAGATATGAGAGTAGATTCTTGGATATGCTAGATGAGAAAGGGGAGGAGTCAGGATAATATTCCGATTACTAGTTTATAAAAAGTCAGTCATTCATTCACAGAGACCATGTGCGGCACATTTATATTTATATGAAACGTTCAGAATAGGCAAATCTAACAGAGACATAAGGTAGATTAGTGGTTACTTGTGGCTGGAGGGTGTGGGTGGGGAATGACTGCTAATGGGCATGGGGTTTCTTTTTGGGGTGATGACAATGTTCTAAACTTGATTGTGGTGATGGTTGTACATCCCTGAATATAACGACAACCATTTAGTTGTCTATTTTAGATAAGTGAATTGTATAGCATGTGACATATCTCAATAAAGCTGTGTGTGTCTGTGTGTGTGCGTGCACGCATGCACATGCAGATGGACAGATGCCTATGTGCACCCATGTAGAGGATGTAAAACAAACATTAGCCAGTTTGACATTTGAGTGTGGAGCTAGAGAGAGAGATATAGCCAGAGATAGACTCAGGAATCAGTAGAACTGAGGTCATGAGATTGTCCAAAGGTAAAGAGAGGGGAAGAGAGCCCAAGATTGAACTCTAGGCAACACCAAGGTGGAGAGGAGCCTTCCAAAGACAATGGAGAGAAACCACCAGAGAGAAGGGAAGAGGAGGAGACCGTTTGACTTCAAAAGCAAGTGGGAGCTCCATCTTCTGCCCAGGAGCTGGGAAACTTAATTCCAATTGGTGGGAAACATTCTGTGGGTGCAGTGGGGGAACGGAGAACCGGTGCTCTCTCTCTGCGGCAGTGGGAGTGGAAAAGTGAATAAGTATTGCAGAAGGAAGGACCAGCAGGTGCAAAGGACTGAGGGGCATGAGAGAAAGGCACTCGCTGGCAGGGTTTTAGAAGTTAACTGTGGCTAAGTGGACATGGGGAGCCTGGAGAGGGGGCTGAAGAGTAGTCCTGGGTCCAAGGAGGAGGTCCTCCACAGCATATGGACTTTGCGCTGAAGGAACTGCCAAGCTATTAGAGGGATCATCAAGGGAGGAGCACAATCACAAGACGGTTTAGAGAAACATTTTGATAGGGGCTGAAGAAGCTGAGCTTGGAAGCCTGAAATATTCTAGGTGGGGGATAATGATGGTCTAACGTAGAGTGCTGCCTATGAGGTCAGAGGCAGGGCATGAATAGGAGTGAGCCTTGGTCGGTAGAAGCCATACTTTAGAGCAACAGATTGGATGTCAGGAATGAGAGAGAGTGAAAGATCCAGGATGACTCCCATGTTCTTGGTCTGGGTCACCAATGGATGATGGTGGCATTTGCAGAGAGCAGGAACAGGAGAGGAAGGGCAGACTGGCAGGGGTGGGGCCAGTGAGGCCTCATGTTACAGGGAGTGAGCAGGAGTTGTGCAGTCAGAAGACTTCGGTGTAGCTAAAGACCCCAATAGCTATGGAGTGCCTACCTGGGTAGGTAGTCCCGACCAGTGAGATGGGGACACCACCTTAAGGGCTATTCATAGGATTAGATGTCAGAGTGTATATGAACACCTCTAGTGCTAGAATTTAAAAGGTGCTCAAGTAAACGTCTCTTTCTTCCTCTTTTCCTTTCTTCTTCTTTCCCTAAAACTTGCCTTTTGACCCAAAGTCCCTCTCTGCAGAGCTCCTGTTCTGATGCACTTCTCTTTCTGGGTTGGTATTTGCATCTCAGCTCAATTAATAGGCCAGCAGAGAAGACTACTGGAGGACAGGGGGTTTACAGGACTGTAGGAGAGGCCTGGACCATGTGCAAGAGGGGCTTTAGTGGCTGCAATGGCTCCCATCTGATGGTAAGAGTGAGCCACTTACATGTAGTAGATAATAGTATGTGGAGTCCTCAGGGTTATTTAATGTTTTGGGTTTCCGGGGCCGTCTTGGGGGCCTCAATATTTTTGGCTCTTCTTCTTTAGAGATACCTACAAGAAAGGTGATCATAAACAAGTATTCAATTACAAAGACTGTTATCAAGCAAGTTTTCCTTTTGGGGTAAATAAGAAATTACTTACACACAACTGGGGCTCAAGCTGGGAGAAAGAGGAAATACCTTTGCGCCCCCAACCAACCCTTATCATATTTCTTACCCTGTGTTCCTTCTGATTGTCTGGTGGTCTGGGGCTTTGAGAGGTAAGGGAAAGGAAAAAAGGGGAAGAAAAGAAATGCATGCCTTGGTAGTATGGAATAGTGTGCAGCAGTTCAGAGGATGAAGGGGAGAGGAGTCAGAGCTGCCAGAAAAATCTTTAAAAAGGAGTATTATGCCGGGGCGCCTGGGTGGCTCAGTTGGTTAAGCATCCGACTTCGGCTCAGGTCATGATCTCACAGTCCGTGAGTTCGAGCCCCATGTCAGGCTCTGTGCTGACAGCTCAGAGCCTGGAGCCCCTTTCAGATTCTGTGTCTCCCTCTCTCTCTGCCCCTCCCCTGTTCATGCTCTGTCTCAAAAATAAATAAATGTTAAAAAAAAATTAAAAAAAGGAGTATTATGCCAATTATTTAAAGAAGAGTTAATACCTATTTTTCTTAAACTATTCCAAAAAATAGAAAAGGAAGGAAAACCTCCAAATTCATTCTATGAGGCCAGCATTACCCTGATACCCAAACTAGATAAAGACATCACAAATGAAAAGAACTACAGGCCAGTTATCTCTGATGAACACAGATGTAAAAATCCTCAACAAAATACTATCAGACTGAATCCAACAATACAGTAAAAAAATAATTCACCACGATCAACTGGGATTTATTCCTGGGCTGTAAGGGTGGTTCAATATTCACAAATCAATCGCTGCAATACGTCACATCAATAAAAGCAAGTATAAGAACCATATAATGATTTCAATAGATGCAGAAAGAGCATTTGACCAAGTACAGCATTGATTCATGATAAAAACTCTCAACTAAGTAGGTTTAGAGGGAGCATATTCTTAATGTAACAATGGTCACATATAAAAAATCCACAGCTAATATCATCCTCAATGGGGAAAAAGTGAGCTTTTCCTCTAAGATCAGGAACAAGACAAGGATGTCCATTCTCACCACTGCTGTTCAACATAGTACTGCAAGTCCTAGCCACAGCAACCAGACAACAAAAAGAAATAAAAGGCATCCAAACTGGCAAAAGAGAAGTAAAACTTTCACTACTTCCAGATGACAGGATACTCTCTGTACAAAACCTGAAAGACTCACCAAAAAAATGCTAGAACTGATAAACGAATTCAGTAAAGTTTCAGGATACAAATCAATGTACAGAAATCTGTTGCATTTCTGTACACCAATGATGAAGCAGCAGAAAGAGAAATTAATAGAAATCAATCCCATTTATGATTGCACTAAAACTAATAAGATACCTAGGGATAAACCTAAACAAAGAGGTAAAAGACTTGTACTCTGAAAATTATAAAACAGTGATGAAAGAAACTGAGGAGAACACACAAAAAATGGAAAGACATTCCATGCTCATGGATTAGAAGAACAAATATTGTTAAAATGTCTACTATCGAAAGCAATCTACACATTTAATTCAATCTCTATCAAAATACCAATAGAATTTTTCACAGACCTAGAACAAATAATCCTAAAACTTGTATGGAACTACAAAAGACCCTGAATAGTCAAAGCAACCTTGAAAAAGAAAAGCAAAGTCAGAGGCATCACAATTATATACTTCAAGTTATCTTACAAAGCTGTAGTAATCAAAACAGTATGGTACTGGCACAAAACCAGACACATAGATCAATGGAACCCAGAATTATAGGGTCATTTAATCTTTGACAAAGCAGGAAAGAGTACTCAATGGGAAAAAGATGGGAGAAGATATTTGCAAGTGACATATCTGATAAAGAGTTAGTATCCAAAATATATCTAAAACTCAACACCCACAAATGAATAATCCAATTAAAAATGGGCAGAAGACATGAATAGACATTTTCCCTAAGAAGACATAGAGACGGCCAACAGACACACGAAAAGATGCTCAACATCACTTACCATCGGGGAAATGCAAATCAAAACTACAATGAGATATCACCTCATACCTATCAGAATGGCTAAAATCAACAACACAAGAAACAGCAGGTGTTAACGAGCATGTGGAGAAAGGAGAAAAGAGAAAGGAGAACTTTCTTGCTCCGTTGGTGACAATGCAAACTGGTGTAGCTGCTCTGGAAAACAGTATAGAGTTCCCTCAGGAAGTTACAAATAGAACTACCCTACCATCCAGCAATTGCACTACCGGGTATTTACTGGAAGAATGCAAAAATACAAATTCAAAGGGACACATGCGCCCCCTGATGCTTATAGCAGCATTATTTACAATAACCAAACTATGGAAACAACCAAGTGTACATTGATAGACAAATGGATAAAGATATCTTTCTATATCTATATCTATATCTATATCTATATCTATATCTATATCTATATCTATATCTATATCTATAGCTAGATAGATATAGATTTAATTGACTACTACTCAGCCATAAAAAGGAATGAAATCTTGCCATTTGCAATAATATGAGTGGAACTAGAGAGTATTATGCTAAGCAAAATAAGTCGTTCAGAGAAGACAAATACCATATTATTTCACTTACATTGGAGTTTAAGAAACAAAACAAATGATAAAAGGAAAAGAGAGAGAGAGAGAGAAAGGCAAACCAAGAAATGGATTCTTAACTACACAGAACAAACTGATGGTTACCAGGGGGGACGGTGGGAGGAGTGAAATAGGTGATGGGGATTAAGAAGTGCACTTGTGATGAGCACCAGGTGCTGTATGGAAGTGTTGAATCACTATATTGTACCCCTGAAATTAATAGTACGCTGTATGGCAACTAACAGGAATTTAAATAAAAACTTTAAAAAAGGGCATTATACCAATAGAATCTTGCTGTGATTCCCCCAACCACCAGCCTTACACAGTGACTCATCTGTCTAAGCACTGCACATTCTCCACTTCAAGGACCATCTCCTATGTTACGCCCAAACAAGAACACAGCTCATTTTCAGGCTTGACTCCCTTATAAATGTAGAACCTCAAACTATTCAAATCTTCAGACCTAACTTTAAAAACCTTTACCAAGAAAGAATAAAGTTTGTTGTCTTTTTCTACTCTGTCAGTATAGCCAAATTCTCAAAGCCGTAGCAACATCATCAGAGCTTCTGACGATCTGTATACTTGGCTTCACATTTATAGAGCTAATGAGCCTCTCCTGAAGTATTTCTGTCTGTTTTGACCACTGCATCCCCTGACTGCACTTGTGCAGAAATGTCCGTTCAATGGATATGTCAGAATCAGGGTGGGAGTAGAGTATGGGTGCTTATTGGAGAATGACTTATATTCAACATACACCTGAGCATACATTTCTTAGCTGGGCTTAAAGGCAGTTATAGATCATTATGTCGTATAATACAGGGGCAGGAATGATTCCTAATCTAGATGTAGAAACACAGAGAAACTGAATTTCTCCAAACTATGCTAACCAAATCAAGTCCAACAGAATCAAATCAATGAATATCTATACTATGTGTTAACAACCGTGACTGGTAGTGCCGATCAGTTTTAACCGGGATAGAGACTCACACAGATGTCTACCTTCCTAGTCTCATGTCCAATGTACTAGGTGAACCTACAGCATTCATATTCTCACGTAATCCAGCTCATTCATTTCAAGATCTATGGGAAATTGCTGGATGACACAGATCAGCTAGCTGTGAGTATTTCAGAGAGGTGTAATGCATGGAGCAATCAGAGAAACATGAAATGTTACATATGACAACCAGACGTTCCTGTTCTCTTTCAAATAAGACAAAACAACACGAAATCTTTGTTAATGAGACCATGCTAATAGAGATTAGTAATAGACTAGAAGAGTGAAACCATTCTCCAACCAAACTCTGCACATTATTTCTGCATCACCTTCTGTTCTCTCTTTCCCTTCTTCTTCACAGGAATAGACAGAGGAGGTGGAGGGAATCCAAATATCTGAGCCCTGTCTGATCCTGTCCTAGACTGTCCCAGGCACAAGGAAAGACAGTAAAAGCTGGATTCTTGCCACCACTTCAAGTGATGGTCTTTTTATTTTTTTCTTTCTCTTTGCTAATCATCTCTCTCAGTGCTGATTAAAAAGCTTCCATGGCTCTTGCAAAGTCTTACCATTTTAAAATGTATTGGTGATATCCACTTATATTATTCATTTGAGTCTGAATGGCAAAAAACATAAAAATATAGTATGGGGTTATTATGTTTTTAGAAGCATGAAACTGATCTGTGACTACATTTTAACTTGACTTTAATGTTATTTAGAGTCCGAATTGAAATATCAGAGGATTACTATTGTAACAGAAATTAATCAAACTGAAGGTGGCAAAGAATCTGAATAAGTGCCAGGGGAGTGGAAAACAAAACAGATTCTGGGAATAAACAGAGTCTTGCTCTTAGCTCCATTGTCTCACCAAATGTTCCCCCATTCAATCTGATTTCTATTACCAAAACTATTGAAACTGCCTTCTAGAAAGTCAAGGGTGACCACTCTATTGACAAATACAAAGGCCCTTTATCTGTCCCTCTATGGCTGACTTCTTCATCATTTAACATTATTGACCATCCCTGGCCTTCATGGCTGAGGATGAGGTTTCTGAAGAGGACACCCCTTCTCTTATTTACCACTGTATTCCTGGCACATGAGGAAGTGCTCGACAGATAGGTCCTTAAGAAAATTTTGCTGGATGAGTAAATAATCGCTTTGCCTCCTAGACTGAATCACTCCCCTCTTTGTTTCTTGAATTTCCCACAGGGTACTCAATACTGATGACTGTCTGATACCCAGCTCATGTTGGGTGTTCTCACCCTGTCAGAGCTCCTGCCCCAATTTCTCATCTCCTATTCAGTACTTCCATCTCAAACTCTCAGGCTCAAATGAACCGG